GCGCTCCACGCGACCTTGTCCGTGACCCTCGAGATGATCACGACCCTCCACGCGACCTTGTCCGTGACCCTCGAGATGATCATGAGCCTCTCCGTGACCCTCGAGATGGTCGTGAGCCTCCCCGTCACCCTCGAGATGGTCGTGAACCTCATGAAGATGCTCGAAGTGCTGTTCGCGACCCTACACGCAACCATCATGAGGCCGTACGTGACCCTCGTGATGGCCTTCGCAATCCTTGGGATGTTGATCCTCGTTATCCTTACACCCGAGGGTACTCCCATGAACCTGCGCGTGGCCTCGACCGTGGCACTCTTCACCCCCGTGACGCATTCTACCATCGCAATCCCCGCTATGGTCCACCTCAAGATCCTTATGGATCTGGCGATATTCGTATGGAAAGTGACTTGAATACTCGAGACAGCTCACCTGTGTCCAATTTTCATGGTAACTATGGTCCTAGTGAGCGCGAACGTGCCTACCCGACCCGGTACGGTCCTGGGGGTGACTTAGGCTATACTCATGAAGGTGGATACAGGTCCCGGCACAATGACCTCGATGAGCGTGGGCAATCACTATCTCCCTATCATAGTCGTCGAGTTGGTGGAGGGAGTTACCGCGAGGAAGGATACCCTCAAGGCCCCGGTAGGAGATTTCAGGATTCGAGATGGGATGAAGGTGCTCATTTGGACTATGATGCTATACCACGAGCATTCCGTCGCGATCTGCCCAATCCCCCAAGGCCTCCTCCCGCTACTTAATGTCCTCCTTGCTCCTCAAGCGTTTTGTGATGTTTGTCGTTGATTTTCTCTTTTCACCTCATGTGCCGCTCATGCCTACATTCGCTGCTCAAGTGTTTTTGGACGTTTTTAGTTGATCTGCTCTTTTCGCATCATGTGTCGCTCGTGCCTGCATTCGTCGTCTGTTTAGTCTCATTGGCCCTGTCTCGTACCCGCGTGTTATACCCTACCCCACCTACATTGATATCTTTGTAACTCGTTTTTGTCAATATCAGTATAGCGGCTCCTCCAAGCCTGCTGTTGCCTCCGAGATCATTAATATGCTTGCCCGGATCTGATGTTTCCGTTAATCAGAACATCACAACAAGTAGATTAAAACATGAAGAAAGTACGAGATAATTGAAATAACATATGACTTGAATAAAAATAACATAGTAGGCACCAAAGGATCAAATAACATAAGGAATGTCAGAGACTGTCAGAGACCCTCGACGAAAGCTAGAGGCCTCCCGAACCTCCCGAACTTCACACATGACCCTCCATTGCAATGTAAGACAGCCCTCCAACCAGTATGGAGGTCTTCATTGCGAGGTCCTGGAGGATACTCTGAAACCTCTGGCGGAATAGAGTGGGAGACCCTCTGGAGAGGGTGGTCTCACAGACTGCTTTCCCATCACATAGAAAGCGGGTCTAACAGACCGCGGGAACACGAGCATAGTGCTGCCAAGGGTGGTGTTCGAAAACCGCTCATATTCTCATCATATTTCCAGTCCTGATACTTGGACAAGAGGTATGTCGGTGCTATTGCCGGAGTAGCCAACTTGCTAAGAATAGTGTCATAGATTGAACTGATCTGGGTGAGTGACAGAGTCCCATATCCGAGTTAGAAGAAAAACAGGCGAATACAATGAATTCGCAACAGAGGCAACGCTCGTCTCTCATGACTGTCATGTATTTGCTTGTTCGTACCTCATATTATGCTATAGCGTGGTTGTGCTAAATCCAAAATGTTCTAGACACGCTATATTGGAATACCATATTCTGTGTATGTTTTTGACGTCAAAATGTTGGTATTGCACTAATGGCCCATCTCTCATTATCAGTATCAACGTTCTGGGTATGTCTCATATGCACTGTGTTTGATTCTTCTGACCGGCGGCACACAGCAAATATGCCATCAGTGCCCCTGACAGATGCAGTGAGTATTCCGCAATCATCTCATTCCTATCCAATGAATACACTCATATCTAGGAGTGAGTGAGATTCTGACCATTAAACTTGGCTCAACATAATGATTCAATAGGTGTGAGTCGCAACGTTTGGTCCTACTACGAGGGTGATCACTAATCGGGTGTTTCAGGCAATATTATGAGCTATGCAAGGAATGTGACAAATGTGGTCGTAACTGTCATGCTGGGTGGTGAGCTGCAATACCTCAGTGACATTGACTCGACTGAAACACGATGCAAGTCATCATGATTGCTCGGTTGCATGCCATGTATCAGAGATCTAGGAGGATGCTTATCTTCCTTGTTGTCATCTGTCTGGCTGTTAACATCGCCTGCGGAGTACTCACGGCAATAGCACTCAAGGGTATGGTAGTGGGTAAGCTTTACTTGTTGACTTGAAAAACGCCGCTCATTGGACAACCACCAGGGGAGCTGATACTCTCTGGAACGTATATGTGCGGCTTTGAATACGAGGGGGATGTCCAGCTTCTGATTTCAATGATTTGGACGCTCCACACTGTTTGGGAGGTCTTTGCACTGTGCCTTTCAGTCTGGATTGCTACGAAACATTTCCGTGACCTGCGACGACTCGGCTCATCGACAGGATCGACCATAGGTGACTGTTTCAGAGTGCTGATGAAATCCCACGTGCTTTATTTTGCGAGGTGAGCTTGTAATGTAAATGTGTTCGTCTTTGTCTGCTCAAGTTCCACATGTGCTAGCTTTTTTTGCGTCTCCTGCCTCGAGTTAGTTGATAATCTCTCTCCAACATTATTGGTGCGCCGACCTATCGCTGACATCTGCTTGTAACCACTGCTCATCATTTCTGTAGAATCCATATTCTATGGGAGTTGAGACACCCCAAGGCGCTATTGATATTTTATTGGGCGTGCAGTTGTTTGTGCTGGGACCCCGCCTCATCCTTAGCGTTCGAGAATATCATGCAAAAATCGTGGTGAACTCCGATGCAGAAACTAGCATGAATTCGATTGTCTTCCAGGAGCATGTACAAATATCAACTAGCAGTACTGTGTAGGAAAATGCTCGCCGTGTTCTGCAGGGAGGAGATATTCGGTCGAGGATCCGTCATAGTATTTATTTTAGTAATGATGTTTCAAAGTATATTTAAGACGAGGCTTATGTAGACAAACCCGTTTCTTGTTGTGTCACTCCTGGAAGTCAGTGACCCGCGCGTCCACACTTTTACCAAGTGGCAAGCTGAAATTATCTGCAACGTCTAGCAACCAACCCAGTCCTTGATGGTAAGACAACTACTTCTACGTGTTTGCGGAGTTACGCTGTTTGAGCACACAGATGATGAAAAAGAATCGCGCGGACTCGTGGTTCGCATATCGCAAATGAGCGTGGCAAAGAGATGAGGTGTGCAGAACAGAGTAGAGAATTAGAGGATCGGAGCTAACCATTAATGACATCGACCACGATTTTCTCAAATTGTGTAAATACATAAGTTGATCGGACCCGCGCCATCGTAATGTTTTGCCCAAGCAACTGCAAATTGTGTGTTGGGTTTGCGTCCCTGCAATGATCTGTTAAAGCCCATACTGTTAAGCAAGACCGTCAGATTAAAGTACTGATTGAGATACATACATATGTTCACCATCTGGACCGAACGAATGGAAAGCGAGGCGGCTGGAAAGTAGAAGTAGCGCGTATGAGTTCAGACAGCTGGTATAGATAGCCCAAGCATAGTCGGACTCTACCCTTCAAAATCGCAGACTGTCCAGGGACAGCGTCCTTGCCATTCAAGGGTATTTCGCGTGACCAAGGTATTGGAACCCTTTTGACTATCCAGCTTCACAAGTAAGAAGAAGCAGTAAGGAGAAAAAACTGAAATCTGTTCTATCGATACGAAAGTTGTTGTAAGCTTGAAAGCTCACTTAATTGAACAGGGACATACAAAATCACGTAACTGGCGCGTCCCGCGTTATTTGATTCGGTGTCTTTTGCTTTCGGTTCGGTTTTATTGTCTATCTTGAGCCATCGAGGTATATTCATACCTGAGGCCTGAGTTGTACATAGCGTAGATGGCCAAATACACGTCGTTGTAACCAGTAGCTCGAGCCCTTTCCGCTGAATGACTAAGGGTCGTAGATAAGAGTAAAACGTGCCAGACGTGTGCCCACTCCATATCATCCATCAGCAGGGAAGCAGTAATGAGTCGTGCATGGAAGATGAAAGTCGGCTGTCGATGTCCTCAGTAGGGATTATGGTGATCGGGGTCGTATCAGCTCATCGGATATCCAGGTCCATTCTCGTTGCGGGTGTTGCTGGCGCGATATCGCTGAACGATGTCTGTTCAAGCAAGATTCAACCATATCGAGCATGAGGTTTAAGATAGAGACTTACGAGGTGAGTATATGACTCTGTCTTGTCACGAATGAATGCGCGCTGTAAGGAGATAGAAGTGCTGAGTGGGGAGTAAAGAAGAGAACTGGGGCGAATTCAAGTCGGAAGGCGTCAAGCGCACCTAGAAAAGGGCGCAGACCATGATATTCTGACATCCCTACTTTAATCAGATCGCACTGGCTTTATCGTGTAAAGCAAAAGAGGACGCAAGAGGGAGTTGTGAAACCCCAGATGGCTGATAATGTGTCATATCGGCAAGACCGCCTGTCCACCATCATCTTCAATCTGTGCCGCAGGAAAGGAGTGCCGAATCATGTGTGAAGGGTAGAAGTAGGGTGTCGACATCCTGGAGGCCACTAGTGAACTGATTGGGGGCCGATCATCTGATTGAACCAAGCCATTGCTGACTACCGTGACTGTCAGATAGTCATGTCGTCGTCCGCAATCGTCTGTGCTGAAGCATGATTTAACGATATGGAGTATGATGGTTTTCAAAAAACTTACGGCTCGAGTACTTCCATCCATCACGGATGCGCATGGCAAGGATATGCGATGTGCTGAGCGGGAACTAAAGAGCACTTGACAAAGTATCACTAAGGTACCCGTTGTCTGAAGACAAAAAAACTGTGCAATCATCCATCTGGGCCAAACATGTGGAACGCGATACGAAAGTTCTGTGAAGCAGGAAAGTGAAAGCAGCGTGTCTAAGCTCAGACGGCTAATAGCCCCAAGGATTTCACAGTCATCGAATCCATTCGAGAACTATCATCTATCAGAGCATAACGAAGAAAGGAGGAGAAGGAGACACAACCACTTTGACATTCTGAACTTGACGTGGGCGAATGTGGAAATCATGATTGTGAAAATGAATAAAGTGCGAGGGAAATAGCGGATGGGGTACGAGGAACTGGAAAGAAGGAATAGCATTGAATTGATGGCAGTGATTCGTGAAACAGGCGAGTGAAAGCCATAAGACAACTTGAATGAGTCCGCTTCCTGGTCAACCGGTCATCACTGTATTACCTATCTGGGTTGTTCGTATGAATGCAGTGCGAGGTGCTGGGTCGCGAAGAGTAAGAGTATATCGTAGAGGAAAGTTCATGGAAAATGCTGGTAGTACCTTGTGTTGATGAGGTCACCTAGATACGACTAGTCTTGTGACAGCGACGAACGCAAAATGTGGCGGTTGAAGACGACACTAATGGGCCCTTTGTCCCAAGTAGACTCATTTGCACAGGAAGTAATTACGTGCAAACGGGCAGAGAGGGTGTGAGTGTGATGGCGATGGCGATGGTAGATGATCAGAGGGCGCGGGCAGGGTTGCTGTTGACATTGCATACATAAGACACTCTAAATAGGGACCCAGGTGCGGATAACGACTGTCTTCCTTCTCTTTTGGTCTGACTAGTACATGGTAGACTGGTGACCAGCCCCTCTATGAACAAACCCTCGATAGAGGGACTGGTAAATCTGGGTTTGAATTTGGATAGTGCGCGCTTTGGAGTAATCACATGACTGAAAAGCCTTTTCGGGAGTTAGATAAGTCTTTGCTAAGTTCTCGATTACATACCGAACGTGTCAACATTGCTCGTCGACTCCGGCAGCGATCAGCTCTGTTCCACTGGCCGCTGCAGGGCAGCGTCACGTTGCACTCGGACAGCCCTATTTATGATTTGAATTCAAACTTCGGCTTCTTCTGAGATAGTACTGGTCCTAAGCGCCTGTTCTTAAGGGAAAATGTCTCAAGGATGGTCCTGGGATGACGGGGACCTCTCGATGCGATGATTACGATATGGAGACATTTCAGAGGTGAAATCGTCACACTGATAGCGTCCGGACGAAATAGATTAGGAATATGAGACACAAGGTCTTTCCGCAGCCTGTACCGGCTGTAATTATGCTGTCACCGCCATTCAATGTTGCAAGAATGGCTTCTAGCTGGAATACTTGTGGAACAATGGTTGTAGCCGTGAGGATGTACACGAGCAGGCAAGCGCGTAACACATCCGTCTTATCCTTGTCAGGGTTTCGATATAGTCGGTAGGGAGCGTTCTTGCCATATTAGCGAACAAGCAAATGAATCTAGTCTTTCCATCGAGGCTTCCCGCACAGCTTGGATGATAGAGTTCACGCCATTGGAGTTGTAGAGTAGATACATACATTAATGACGCGACCGCGTTTGCATCGCATCAATATGAATCAAACATTAACAACATTTCAAATATTCACGTCGAAAATTTCAGTTTCTTATCGGCTACAGGTCATGTGATTACTCCAAGCGCGCACTATCCAAATTCAAACCCAGATTTACCAGTCCCTCTATTGAGGGTTTGTCTCATAGAGGGCTGGTCACCAGTCTAAGTACATGGTAGAACAGCAAAATATACAATGATTAAGGCACAGTTCGGGGAGCGATTACGCCTAAGGTGAGGCCGAGAGAGTGCACATGTGCAATTATGTCACATTTTCTCATGTACTTGTACTCGATTCACATTTGCAATACTTAAGGGATGCTCAATTCTAAAATATCGAGTTCAGTTCGTTTCATTTGACATTATTTATGTAGTAACAACATTGATTACCGACACTTACTGCCAGTTGTTACGGTATTCCCAGGGCCAGAAGCCGGCCGTCGCTCAGCAAGTTGTGAACCACGCGTTATCATTGTTGATCAATGTTCAACGTTTCGAAACGACTGTGATCGACATGCAGTGACAACGACAGGACAACTCACATTGAATGCTGTTCTAAACAGTACACTGGCCATAGCTAGGCACAATCAGGAGGCTTATAAGCAGATTTTCTCTCCAGACAATCAAGATCTCGAGGACAATGATCACGACCAACAACTCACAATATTTCCATAGGATGGGTGCAGGCTTTCGCGCTATCTCCTTCATTACATCTGAACCTATTCCTCGTGGCCCCTACCACCAGTGGCAAAAGTGCCAAGAGTTCTTCGACTTATCATTGAGTTGGCCTGATCGTGATTTTCGTCATGCTGGACTTGGTTCTGAAACCGGCAGGGAAGGTGTTGTCTGTCACTGTCAGCATGGTAGTTCATTAATCATTGCTGACTCTGAGAATGTTAACCAGTATGTTTGACTGGGAGACAGGTCTCTGTCAGGCCTTTTTCCGGCCTCGGAACTAATTTACAGAGCTGAAATGAAACTGTTTACTACATAAATAACGTCAAATGAAATGAACTGAACTCGACATTTTAGAATTGAGCATCCCTTTACTTTGACCGATCAAGGATCTGGAAACCCCAGGCGATGTTTTTGGCAGGTAATCGTGCTTTAGGTGCGTGATTGGCAGGCAAAATCACGGTCGAAACGTGACCTGGTGTCATATACCATATATCCGGTTACAAATCGATGATCCGGATCTCAGATCCGATCCAGATCCGATGAACATATCCGTCGTCCGGTCCACAGATCCGCTTTGATTCTTATTTCATTTCCTGTTCATATAACTCTAACTATCGTTCATCTCCTTTCGGTATTCCTGTACACCGGTATACCGGTTATCCTTTACTTCCGCTTTGCTTACTGATCCGCTATGCTTACTGATCTGCTACACTTACGAATCCGCTTTTACTTGTACTTCATTCCCGGTTCATGATTCGTGATCCATCCGACTTACCAATACGCTCCACTTAGACTTTGCTATACTTTCGTACATAGCCTTGCACCTTTGCTTATTGATCATTCCGTTAGCTATCCGTAGTATATAAACCTTTGTATATGCGCTGTAGTAGATCAGTTCGAAATCATCTTAGATTGCACTCATTCCGTCTGGACTCTAAGTCCCTCCGTTATCCGTCCAGACTTGAGTACACTACTCTTGTCTATTCCGAGACTTAGGATAGATTCCTATAGTCTACATATCCGCCTCTGTCTTCGGACGGTCCTTGCCCATTAGTTTCTAGTCCGGATCCAATCCGGATTAGCCGTTACTCTATACGTTCGATATCCGGAAGTCTTAACGGATCCGTTGCAATACTTATCCGTTGCGATACAAGACTTATCCGTTACGATACTTATCCGTCTCACTAGACGCGATACTTTAGCTCTCTGAAATACGGGGCAAGACTCGGGAAAGGGGCACAGTGCACGAGCTGAGGCCGAAGCCCTTCGGATCCGATACTACTTGAGTACGGTCTTAACACCTGGCTGTTTCCCCAGGAATCGACCAGAAATGTCCTTTTTGGGAAGGGAATCCCGCCCTAGGACAAAACACCCGCCACCGTCTCCCTCGTCATTCACCAGGTCGACGACTTCATGGCTCACACGAATCACATCTTTCTCACTTCTCATGGACGCCCATCCAATGGCCGTCGGCGCCAGTACTACTACTGGCTCTGATGCTGTCATCGACCTGGACTTGCTTGCGCTGTCCAATCACAGCGCACCATCACCAATACCCACCAGACTTGGCAACTCAACCCCCAAAGTGGTGAGTGCCCTGCCCCTGACAAGCGCTCGCTGACTCATGCCAGCAGGAGGACTTGGGCCC